GTTGTGGCTGAAATTTTTTATTTGAATTCAATTAAAGGATAGAAATCAATTTTTAGTGCGACTAGATTGGTCTAAATGCTCTCTAGGTCAATGCGTTCGCAACTTAATTCTACGCATGCATATATCAGTTTGTCTGCAGACCTTCAGTAGTGGTGCTGGTCGGCGCAGTAGTCGACGTCGTCGGCTCCGTGGTTGTTGTGGTAGCTGAAAATTGAATTTGAGATGCTCGCTTGCATAACGTGTGATTTGAGCATTGAACAAGTCTCGTACCTGCTGTGGTCGTAGTCGTCGGCTCAGTTGTTGTAGTTGTGGCTGAAAATTTTTATTTGAATTCAATTAAAGGATAGAAATCAATTTTTAGTGCGACTAGATAGGTCTAAATGCTCTCTAGGTCAATGCGTTCGCAACTTAATTCTACGCATGCATATATCAGTTTGTCTGCAGACCTTCAGTAGTGGTGCTGGTAGGCGCAGTAGTCGACGTCGTCGGCTCCGTGGTTGTTGTGGTGGCTGAAAATTGAATTCGAGATGCTTGCTTGCATAAGGTGTAATTTGAGCTTTGAACAAGTCTCGTACCTGCTGTGGTCGTAGTCGTCGGCTCAGTTGTTGTAGTTGTGGCTGAAAATTTTGTTTTTAATACAATGAAATGATAACAATAAATTTTTAGTGCGACTCGATTTTTTTTTTAAGCTCTCTAGGTCAATGCGTTCGCAACTTAATTCTACGCATGCATATATCAGTTTGTCTGCAGACCTTCAGTAGTGGTGCTGGTCGGCGCAGTAGTCGACGTCGTCGGCTCCGTGGTTGTTGTGGTAGCTGAAAATTGAATTTGAGATGCTCGCTTGCATAAGGTGTGATTTGAGCATTGAACAAGTCTCGTACCTGCTGTGGTCGTAGTCGTTGCCTCAGTTGTAGTAGTTGTGGCTGAAAATTTTATTTGAATTCAATTAAAGGATAACAATCAATTTTTAGTGCTACTAGATTTGTCTAAATGCTCTCTAGGTCAATGCGTTCGCAACTTAATTCTACGCATGCATATATCAGTTTGTCTGCAGACCTTCAGTAGTGGTGCTGGTAGGCGCAGTAGTCGACGTCGTCGGCTCCGTGGTTGTTGTGGTGGCTGAAAATTGAATTCGAGATGCTTGCTTGCATAAGGTGTAATTTGAGCTTTGAACAAGTCTCGTACCTGCTGTGGTCGTAGTCGTCGGCTCAGTTGTTGTAGTTGTGGCTGAAAATTTTGTTTTTAATACAATGAAATGATAACAATAAATTTTTAGTGCGACTCGATTTTTTTTTAAGCTCTCTAGGTCAATGCGTTCGCAACTTAATTCTACGCATGCATATATCAGTTTGTCTGCAGACCTTCAGTAGTGGTGCTGGTCGGCGCAGTAGTCGACGTCGTCGGCTCCGTGGTTGTTGTGGTAGCTGAAAATTGAATTTGAGATGCTCGCTTGCATAAGGTGTGATTTGAGCATTGAACAAGTCTCGTACCTGCTGTGGTCGTAGTCGTTGCCTCAGTTGTAGTAGTTGTGGCTGAAAATTTTATTTGAATTCAATTAAAGGATAACAATCAATTTTTAGTGCTACTAGATTAGTCTAAATGCTCTTTAGGTCAATCCGTTTGCAACTTAATTCTACGCATGCATATATCAGTTTGTCTGCAGACCTTCAGTAGTGGTGCTGGTAGGCGCAGTAGTCGTCGTCGTCGGCTCCGTAGTTGTTGTGGTTGCTGAAAATTGAATTTGAGATGCTCGCTTGCATAACGTGTGATTTGAGCATTGAGCAAGTCACGTACCAACTGTAGTCGTAGTCGTCGGCTCAGTTGTTGTAGTTGTGGCTGAAAATTTTCGTTTTGAATGCAATGAAATGATATAAATTAATTTTTAGTGCGACTCGATTTGTCTTAAAGCTCTCTAGGTCAATGCGTTCGCAACTTAATTCTACGCATGCATATATCAGTTTGTCTGCAGACCTTCAGTAGTGGTGCTGGTCGGCGCAGTAGTCGACGTCGTCGGCTCCGTGGTTGTTGTGGTAGCTGAAAATTGAATTTGAGATGCTCGCTTGCATAACGTGTGATTTGAGCATTGAACAAGTCTCGTACCTGCTGTGGTCGTAGTCGTCGGCTCAGTTGTTGTAGTTGTGGCTGAAAATTTTTATTTGAATTCAATTAAAGGATAGAAATCAATTTTTAGTGCGACTAGATTGGTCTAAATGCTCTCTAGGTCAATGCGTTCGCAACTTAATTCTACGCATGCATATATCAGTTTGTCTGCAGACCTTCAGTAGTGGTGCTGGTAGGCGCAGTAGTCGACGTCGTCGGCTCCGTGGTTGTTGTGGTGGCTGAAAATTGAATTCGAGATGCTTGCTTGCATAAGGTGTAATTTGAGCTTTGAACAAGTCTCGTACCTGCTGTGGTCGTAGTCGTCGGCTCAGTTGTTGTAGTTGTGGCTGAAAATTTTGTTTTTAATACAATGAAATGATAACAATAAATTTTTAATGCGACTCGATTTTTTTTTTAAGCTCTCTAGGTCAATGCGTTCGCAACTTAATTCTACGCATGCATATATCAGTTTGTCTGCAGACCTTCAGTAGTGGTGCTGGTCGGCGCAGTAGTCGACGTCGTCGGCTCCGTGGTTGTTGTGGTAGCTGAAAATTGAATTTGAGATGCTCGCTTGCATAAGGTGTGATTTGAGCATTGAACAAGTCTCGTACCTGCTGTGGTCGTAGTCGTTGCCTCAGTTGTAGTAGTTGTGGCTGAAAATTTTATTTGAATTCAATTAAAGGATAACAATCAATTTTTAGTGCTACTAGATTTGTCTAAATGCTCTTTAGGTCAATCCGTTCGCAACTTAATTCTACGCATGCATATATCAGTATGTCTGCAGACCTTCAGTAGTGGTGCTGGTAGGCGCAGTAGTCGTCGTCGTCGGCTCCGTAGTTGTTGTGGTTGCTGAAAATTGAATTTGAGATGCTCGCTTGCATAACGTGTGATTTGAGCATTGAGCAAGTCACGTACCAACTGTAGTCGTAGTCGTCGGCTCAGTTGTTGTAGTTGTGGCTGAAAATTTTCGTTTTGAATGCAATGAAATGATATAAATTAATTTTTAGTGCGACTCGATTTGTCTTAAAGCTCTCTAGGTCAATGCGTTCGCAACTTAATTCTACGCATGCATATATCAGTTTGTCTGCAGACCTTCAGTAGTGGTGCTGGTAGGCGCAGTAGTCGACGTCGTCGGCTCCGTGGTTGTTGTGGTGGCTGAAAATTGAATTCGAGATGCTTGCTTGCATAAGGTGTAATTTGAGCTTTGAACAAGTCTCGTACCTGCTGTGGTCGTAGTCGTCGGCTCAGTTGTTGTAGTTGTGGCTGAAAATTTTGTTTTTAATACAATGAAATGATAACAATAAATTTTTAATGCGACTCGATTTTTTTTTTAAGCTCTCTAGGTCAATGCGTTCGCAACTTAATTCTACGCATGCATATATCAGTTTGTCTGCAGACCTTCAGTAGTGGTGCTGGTCGGCGCAGTAGTCGACGTCGTCGGCTCCGTGGTTGTTGTGGTAGCTGAAAATTGAATTTGAGATGCTCGCTTGCATAAGGTGTGATTTGAGCATTGAACAAGTCTCGTACCTGCTGTGGTCGTAGTCGTTGCCTCAGTTGTAGTAGTTGTGGCTGAAAATTTTATTTGAATTCAATTAAAGGATAACAATCAATTTTTAGTGCTACTAGATTTGTCTAAATGCTCTCTAGGTCAATGCGTTCGCAACTTAATTCTACGCATGCATATATCAGTATGTCTGCAGACCTTCAGTAGTGGTGCTGGTAGGCGCAGTAGTCGACGTCGTTGGCTCCGTGGTTGTTGTGGTAGCTGAAAATTGAATTCGAGATGCTCGCTTGCATAAGGTGTGATTTGAGCATTGAACAAGTCTCGTACCTGCTGTGGTCGTAGTCGTCGGCTCAGTTGTTGTAGTTGTGGCTGAAAATTTTTATTTGAATTCAATTAAAGGATAACAATCAATTATATTATGAACAATTATGAATAATATGAACTAATATTCTTTCTTATAGAATAATACCGTACACTTTTGTTCTAGTTTTGGCAGTGTAAATTAAAAAAGAACACATAATACATTAACGATTTTATAGTATCTTATAACTGGTTGTTTAGCGTTTGGGAGAAAAAAATCCTTTTACAAGGCATTGCAAAATATAAGATGTAGGTGCTAAAAGAACTGAAAAAATGTTAATTTTTTCTTTAACAAAACGGTTATTGATTTTGAAGTGGACCGAGAAAAAATTTATCAACCTGTCCACTTGGCATGCGTTCTTGATGGTAATATGTTCTGCCCCTATGAGTGTTTATCATTCTTTCAAGATATACAAAAGGAAATGGGCAGCGAGTTTCAAGAAGGTAAAAACTTTTCAGTTTCTGATGCATCCTGTAATTAAAAGTAATTGCTGGTATTTTTTCTCATAAATGTGTCTGCGTGGTGAGGCCGATTGTGATATGCGCCCTCAATAGCAGGCCGAGTACTGCAGGTAACCCAAAACCGGTGACTCCGCCTCAGCCCCGAAATATGCTTTTCATTCTGGGTTTTAGTACTATGGAGAGACCCACAACTGACCCAAAAATAGTTCTCAAAAAGCAATTTTATCGCCCTTAATTTGCAAGCAGTATTTATGGCAACTGTTTTCAATTCTAGTTTTTTTCCTCCATACATTCATAGTATAGTGCCTCGCCGGCCGTGTCTCTTTTATGTCTGGCATTTTAGTTGTAGGCTCGATCCTGGTAAGCCGTGGCAAAGTATTTCATATGATTCTTGTTTTCCATCATAACTAAATTATTAAAAATTTTGTATAAACCTTCAGTTGTGGTGGAAGCCGCAGTGGTCGTCGTCGTCGGCTCTGTGGTTGTTGTCGTGGCTAAAAAATTGAATTTGCGATATTCGATCGTGTGTGATGGAGAGCATCGCTGATATTTAATTTTTCAGCATATTTTGCACCTTCTGAGGTCGTTGAGGCCGAAGTCGTCGTCGACGTTGGCTCGGTTGTTGTTGTTGTGGCTGAAAATTGTAATTGATCACCCCCGTAAAAAAATGTTACACTCGATTGCCGAGTAAAACCCTGACACGATTTTTAGTTTGCATTTTCAAGATATTTCCCCAATGCTTCAAATATCAACGCTGCCATTTAGATTATAGATCAGATTTCGCACCTTCTGTGGTTGTTGCTGCAGTTGTAGTCGACGTTGGCTCGGTTGATGCTGCAAGATTTGGTTCATAGGAAATATTATTTATTTTAGAATTAATATTTCCCTGTATATTTTAATGCATGAAACATGAGAATTAATATGTGACCTTATTTAAAATTTCGTGCATTTATGATGTTTGTTTTTGATATTTTACTTTTTAGTTTCAAATATTGGTTATTAAGTATTACCGGACATTATCTGCCCAATGCATCACCCATAAATTCAAAATTACAAATTTTGGTCAGCTACAAGAGAGAAAATAACGTTGAGATTTATTTTTAAAACCAGATTCACACTGGGTAAGAGGAGGAGTTCAAATATTTAAAATATAGAATTTGAGGAATACTATAAAATTTTAAAAAGAAAAAATTCAGTATAAAATTTTGAACTGAAATGATGAAATGCTTTTAAATAATTAAATTACGTTAATGATAAAGGAGAAAAAGACTTACATTCCGTTGAAGGGCTATCATCAGCCACAGTTTTCATAATCTGAAATATGTTATTAACATGTTACTAATGATCGAGCTTCATTATGTAATAATGGATTTTATCGTTTTATTATAATAATATATATAATTTTATTGATACTATGATTGTGTGGATTCTAGATTGTTGAAAAAAATAAATTATTGACTCAAGAACTCCAGTTGCAATTATTCACATTATATCTGCTTTTTTTTAGAAATTGCTGGATAACATGTAGATAAAATGGAAACTGGGGAACTTAGAGATAAAGTTAATAGAAGGTAGTTTGCTATTTACCTGCTGGCAAAGAAACAAGAAAAGGACAAATCTCATATTGTAAAGCATTGTATGAATAATAAGAATAAGCCCTACTGGCTTTCTTTGACTTGTCTTTGAGAGTGAGGGTCGTTTCCACACAGGTTTTCCTCAAAACTCGAATGATAATGCAGTGTGAGCGAGACAAATTATATTTTCATTTCCACTCGGTGTGTTCAAGATGGTAATTTTCTCTGCCCTTTTGCGTGTTTATCGTTCTTTCAAGATAAACAAAAGGAAATGAACTGAACATTTCGTCAAGTTTTCTTTTGGTGTCAACGCCTTTAGTTTTTCTGTAGTACAACCTGTCATTAAAAATAATAAGAAAAAGTTAAATTTTGTGTGCGCAGATTGGGGTTCGCTCAAGTCTTATATAACTATTATATAAATTTGGATTTTGCTAACTATTATTCGTGTTGGAGTGCATATCGATGAAAATTTTTAACCGTTTCTATTTTTTTCTGAGTGATCGTTTCCTAAATTTATGGATTTTTTGCCAAAATATGTATACATTATCACGTTTGAAAATTTATGTACCATCTGAAATATTTAAAAACCGGGTAGCAAACAGTTTTGAATATCTGAATTTAAAAATTCATATTCGTGGATTTGAGCCACACTTACTCAACACACTCGGGACTGAAATTGTTTTTCAATTCAATTCAATCTGTATTGTAAGACGTAGTATTACAAATACGACGGGTACATTGGGGGTGGTGGTACATTGTTGTACCACCACCCCCTTGTCGGACGTGAGACCCATCGAGACAGTGCTCGGGACCGTTCACGCTTCTAACAAATAATTGCAAAACGGGTGTGCTATAATTATCTTGGACATGTGGCGCCCTTGTGTGCAAAACTGTTCAGTTGGCACACCTTGCCAATTGCCCTTGTTATTCTCTCCGTTTGTTGCCCAGTGCAACCACGCATCTCTCAATTTGTGCGTTCTTCGCCCCTGTTTTCAACCCTTTAATTAGGGGTAAGCTTATTCATACTATGATTTAATCAATCTTTATTAATTTCTCTTTAAATTGGTGTATAATATGTCAGAGTTGCTTAAGAATTAATGTGTGTATTTTTAAATTTAAAAAGTTCATTGAGAGAGAAAAGAATTTTAATGAATTTCAAATTTGAAATTTAATTTGCATAATTACTGATTGTAATTGTTTTTCCAGTTTGAATATAAGAAGAAAAACGGATTTCTGGTGTTTCTCTGCTGCTAAACCCCATAGACATATAATCCCAAAAATTGTGTACTTGGCCCGCAGGCACCCACATATGCACTGTCACATGAAGGGGGAACAATTAATATTTTTCGGTCCAGCCGGATTAAGAAAATTCAAAATCACTGACTGTGAATCATTTAATGAAAGAAAATTCTCCTCACAAATTAGTAGTATCATCTGCATATGACAGCAATAAACCAAATACATGCTCCAATTTTATATCCACCCCACGAACATAAAAAAAATGTAGTGAAACTTTCGCACCTTGCGGGTTGCCACGACAACTGGCAACTCCAAAGAAAGGACAGTTCGTTCACTTTTGCCCTAAACTAAACAGTTTTCAAACGCACGGCCTGCATTCTCATAATTTTTTTCGCTGCTCCAAATGCTCATACAATTTAACAAAAAATTTAAACAAAGCCGTAAGCGTGCACTTGCTGTACCTCCTGTACACCCACAGGCGGCAAAAAGAGTGAAATAAGAATTAGGAAACGCGGGCATTTGGTTATCCGCCAAACCCGGCTGCTCTATTTCATGAGCAAACGCACTGCTCGCTGACTAATAAAAAGCTATGGGGGATGCATACAAATAATATTATAGCTCAGAATGATGACAAATCAGTGAATAATTTTTTATTTATATTTATTTGGTTTTTTCAAGTTCGTACATTGATGTTAACACTGCTTTCTTGCTTTTTTTATTTCGTCCTTTTTCTTTGCGAGGAGAGCTTGGATGTATTTTGGCCAATTTGAATATAAAGAAGAATTTAAAAAAGGATTCCGTCCGGTCAAGTACGCTCCGTCGAGAGGACCTCGGATGAATCTGGCCTTGTCTTATTAGCGAAAATCTTATCCTCCTTTTCATTTGTATCAATCCTTTTTTCTTTCAGACTGGACCTACGATGATCAATGTTTTTTATTTCGCTTCCTTGTTTTATTTTCTTCCTTTCAATATTTCCTCCTAATTTGTACTGCCTTATAGATTTACTTTTTTATTATTGTATAATCTTTTTACCATCAATATTTCCATTTTTTATAAAATCCTTTCCTCCGTTTTCTGCTTTTTTATTATTCCCTTTCTTCTCCATATTTCCCTTATTAACCACATTTTCTTCGTTCTTGCCTTTTTGTTCCAATGCCTTTTTTCCATTTTTGACCCTTGTCATTCCATTTTCTTCTCTCTCTCCTCTTTGCTTCTTCGCTTTTACCTCAATTCTCGTCTTTTTAAAATCCACTTTAACGTTCTCTACATTTTGCTTCTTCCCATTCTTCTCCATATTTACCTTTTTAGCTACATTTTCTCCATTCACTAATTTTTGTGTCTTCGATTTTCTCCCCTTTCTCCTCTTTTTAATTTCATTTTCTTTTTTCTGCCCTTTTTGTTTCTTCTGATTTTCTGCATTTTTTGCCATTGCAAAATCCTTTTCTGTGTTGTCCTTTTCTATATTATTCCCATTCTTCTCCATATTTACCTTATTAATTCCATTTTCTCCATCCCCCTCTTCTTGTTTCTTTTCCTTTTCCACCTTTTTTGCTTTCTTTGAATCCGTTTCTCCTTTCTCATCTTTTGACTTCTTCTCCTTTTTTGCCTTTTTTGCCTTTTTTTCCATATTAATGTCCCCTTCGCCGCCCTTTTGGTTTTGTTGATTCACCATCTTTATCTTTTTGAATTTTTCATTTCCATTTGATTCATTCTGTTCCTTCTTCTTCTTTTCTTTTTGAAATATTTTTATTCCATTTTCTTCAATCTCCTTATTTTCCTTCCTCATATTCTTTACCTTTTTAATATTGTTGTCTGCATTTTCGCCATTTTGCTTCTTGGTTTTCTTTACCTTTCTAATTTTCTTTTCCCCATTTTCTCCCTTTTGTATCTTTGCTTCTTTTTCCTTTATAATTCCCTTTTTTCCGTCCTTTTGTTTTTGCGTCTGCGCCATATTTACCTCTGTAACATTCTTTTCTCCGTCTTCTCCATTTTGCTTCTTGGCTTTCTTTTTCTTCTTTAACTTTTTAGTTTTCTTCTCTCCGTTTTCTCCCTTTTGTTTCATTGTTTTCTTTTGCTTTTTAAATTTCTTTTCTCTGTTTTCTTGTTTTTGCGTCTGTGTCTTTTCTCCACCTTCTCCATTTTGCTTCTTGGCTTCCTTTTGCTTTTTTACCTTTTTAATTTTCTTTTCTCCATTTTCGCCCTTTTGTTTCATGGTTTCTTTTTCTTTTGTAATTTTCTTTTCCCCGTTCTCATGTTTTTGCCTCTGCGCCTTTTTTACCTTCATAACATCCTGTTCTCCGCCTTCTCCCTTTTGCTTCTTGGCTTTCTTTTGCTTTTTTACCTTTTTAATTTTCTTTTCTCCATTTTCTGCCTTTTGTTTCTTGGCTTTATTTTCCTTTTTTATTTTCTTTTCTCCGTTCTCTTGTTTTTGCGTGTGCGCCTTTTTTACCTTCGTAACATCCTTTTCTCCACCTACTCCCTTTTGCTTCTTCACTTTTTTTACCTTTTTATCCTTTTTAATTCCCTTCTTCCCTTCTTTTTTTCTTTTCTTTTCTCTTTTTGCACTCTTCTCCTGAATTTTGTTCTTCTTTTCCTTTTTAACCTTTTTTAATTCATTTGCTTCATTCTGTTTTTTCGCCTTCTTTTCTTTTTTAGCATTTTTAATATCATTTTCGCCAATCTCCTGCTTTTGTTGTTTCTCCTTCTTTTCTTTTTTCACTTTCTTAACCTTTTTAATTTGATTTTCACTGATCTGTTTTTGTTTCTTTTGCTTCTTGATCCCGTTTCCGCCAATCTGTTGATTTTTCTTTTTTTTCTCCTTCTTTACTTTCTTTATGGTTCCATTTTCTTGTTTGAGTTTCATAACATCCTTCTTCTTTTCCTTTATTTTCTTATTTTTTTTATTCTTTACCTTCTTATTGGTCTCTTTTTTTCCTGATTGATCTTTGATTTCTCCCTTCTCTTTCTTCACTTTTTTTACCTTTGTGACTTTCTTCTTCTTTTTGCTTACCACCTCACCATTATTTACAACAGTTTCTTTATCATCTTTGTCCATCTTCACCTTTTTAACTTTCTTCACCTTGTTTTTCTTCTGGTTAACACCAACCTGCTTCCAGACAGCGTGAGTAAAGAGACTGCCATAGCATCCATCAAATGCTTGGTATTGATTTCTGCAAGATCTAGTAGTTCCTTAGAGTTAAAATAAAAGATAATTCAATTAGCTCCAAAGAAACTTTATAGCTTTTAGTTACCTCTAGTTGGACATTTCTGCGAGATTGATAGTTAAACAAAATTATTACGTCAGAAAAAATTTATTGAAAAACTTACGGCAATCAATTCCGACAGAATACATTGCATGATAATGAAGTATTTTCCAACGCAAACTTGTCGTCCATTTACAAAATTTGGAATGTTGAGCGCTATAATATCAATAAAAATTCAAGCCTACGTCGCAAATTATAAACTAAAACATACCACCAACAGTTGAGACACATTTTTTCACTGCATCAGTTATGAGAGGAGTCCACGTGGGACTATTAGATGCTGTCAAAAGTGTTGTTAACTTTGTTGAATCCAGGACTCCGGATTTATACTAAGGAAAATTATCATAGGTGTATTATTATTATATTTAATGTTTAATGTGTTTATTAGGCAAGGAAATTTAATAGATTTGAATGATGAAATAGTTGTCTTTGTTTCTACATATGCATAATCAAAGGCTGCGCATCCCAAAATTATGTTGGTACACGGCTGCCGTCAGAGCCATGGGGCCTTATGGCTCTGGCGGAAGAAATCTTTTTTTTTATGGCCAACATAATAGAGCTGATGCTCGGCCTTTGAGCATCATGTATCTCTATTTAAAAAAAAAATTAAAAATGCATCATGGACGCCAGTTACCACCTAGTGATATTCAACATTAGGTTTACATACTAAATAGAAGATGCGATGGTGGCAATAAAATTATATTTTAAACCTTTTTTAACAGGTTTTCTATTCTAGATGCACACATAATTCCTTTTAAAATTTTCTGAAGGAAAACTTGCACAGTAAAAAATAACAATTCTTAACTTTGATTGAACTTGAAAAAAAAAACGCGATATTTGCATGCTCATGAGACGCGTGCGAGTTCCGGTTCAGACGTGAGGCCATTCCTAGGCTCCTTTGCTTTTCACGCTTGAGTTATAATTTGCCTTTTTGCTCTTGTCTACTAGATTGGAGTCGAGATTTTCTCCCTTTTAGGCTAGTTCAAGAAATTTGTTATTTCAATACTGAAGAGGAACATGTAAATTACAAAAGAAGTCCTCCTTGTAAATGTTTTAATTTCTTGTTTTTTCCTGACGTTTATTTCAATTGTCAAAATTATAATTGGGTGGGTCGCACCGTATATATATTATATGTGATTACATTCCATGATGCAATAAGCTAATATAATAATACTTACAGCGCCCCTGGATCCAAGTACACAATTCACAATGCACTAAAATTAAAAATCACCATTACCTTTCTTACTATAAGCTACAGAATACATACAGCTGAACTTCCCAGAGCCCTTATTAACGACGGGTTATTGAAATTTATGGAATTAATGGGATTATTTTTAGGTTTTTGTTGGTTTGTCAATGTCAACACATTGAAAGCGTTCATTTTTAATCTCGATGATCTGCAGGTTCTGACTTCAGTTCTGTTGAAAGCAAGCAGCTGTGGTGCAACAGGAGTGCAGCATTTTGAAATTCTATTCTGAAATTAATCAGTTAAGATATATATAAGAATTAAATAAATGACATAATATTATGTATATATTACTCCATTTATTAAGCCACAGTTGGGTATGATTGCTGGCCGAGTTGTTGTAGTGGTCGTTGTAGTTGTTGTGGTAGGTACAGGGGTCGTAGTCAATTCAGTTGATTTTGCGACTGAAGTGGTAGTTGATCCCTCTGTAGGCGTGTTGGTCGTGCCTGCTGCAGTGGTTTGAGTTGCGGTCGTAGTGGGAGATGCAGTTGTTGTGGTCGTCGAAGGTACTGCGGTTGTAATTCCAGCAGTGATTGTAGCTTGGACGGTCGTAGGTGCTATGGTAGGGGGTGCGATCGTCGTTGGTGCTATGGTAGTTGGAGCCAAAGTAGTTATAACAGCGGTAGAAGGTGCATCAGTCAGCAGAGTTGAGGTGATATCTGCGGTAGTGCTCACAGCAGGTGTTGTTGGAGCTGTGGTAGTCGTGGCAGCAGTCGTTAGAGCTTCATTAGATGGAGCTGTGGTTGTAACAGAAGCAGTTATGGTCGTTGGGGCCGAAGTAGTAGCTGGGGTTGTGGTTGGAGCTACAGTAGATGGAGCTGTGGTAGCAGCTGTGGCAGTCGTTACAACAGGGGTCGATGGAGGAGCGGAAGCAGTCGTTAGAGCTATAGTAGAAGGAACTGCGGTTGTAACAGATGCGGGTACGGTCGTTGAAGCTGAGGTTATAGCTGGGGTGGTGGTTGAAGCTACAGTAGATGGAGCTGTGGTTGTAACAGAAGCAGTTATGGTCGTTTGGGCCGAAGTAGTAGCTGGGGTTGTGGTTGGAGCTACAGTAGACTGAGCTGTGGTAGCAGCTGTGGCGGTCGTTACAACAGGGGTCGATGGAGTAGCGGAAGCAGTCGTTTGAGCTATAGTAGAAGGAACTGCGGTTGTAACAGATGCGGGTACGGTCGTTGAAGCTGAGGTAATAGCTGGGGTGGTGGTTGAAGCTACAGTAGATGGAGCTGTGGTTGTAACAGAAGCAGTTATGGTTGTTTGGGCCGAAGTAGTAGCTGGGGTTGTGGTTGGAGCTACAGTAGACTGAGCTGTGGTAGCAGCTGTGGCAGTCGTTACAACAGGGGTCGATGGAGTAGCGGAAGCAGTCGTTTGAGCTATAGTAGAAGGAACTGCGGTTGTAACAGATGCGGGTACGGTCGTTGAAGCTGAGGTAATAGTTGGGGTGGTGGTTGAAGCTACAGTAGTTGAAGCTGTGGTAGTAGCCGTGGCAGTGGTCATAGTGAGCGTCGTTGGTGCTGTACTGGCAGCAGTATTCGTTTGAGCTACTGTAAATGGAGAAGCGGTTGTAACAGCAGCGGTTGTAATGGATTCGGTTGTTGGTGCTGTAGTAGTAGCTGGGATGGTGGTTGGAGCTACAGAAGATGGAGCAGCAGTAGAAAAAGCATCGGTTCGGGTTGTAATGGCTACGGTAGTTATCGGAGTCGTGGTAGTAGCTGCAAAAGTTGTTTGAGCTACAGAAGATGGAGCCGTGGTAGTAACAGCGCCGGTTGTAATGGCTATTGCCGTTGAAGCGGTGGCAGTGTCTGATGCCGTCGGAGCTGGGGAAGCTGTGACTGATGCCGAAGAAGCGGTGGCAGTGTCTGATGCCCTAAGTGAGGGGGTACCTGTGTCTGATGCCGATGAAGCGGTGGCGGTGTCTGATGCCATCGGAGCTGGGGAAGCTGTGTCTGTCTCCGTGGAAGCGGTGGCAGTGACTGATAACGTCGGAGCTGGGGTTGCTGTGTCTGATGCCGATGAAGCAGTGGCAGTGTCTAATGCCGTCGGAGATGGGGTAGCTGTGACTGATGCTGAAGAAGCGGTGGCTGTGTGTAATGCCGTCGGAGCTGGGGAAGCTGTGTCTGATGCCGATGAAGCGGTGGCGGTGTCTGATGCCGTCGGAGCTGGGGAAGCTGTGTCTTTTGCCGTGGAAGTGGTGGCAGTCACTGATGCCGTCGGAGCTGGGGTTGCTGTGTCTGATGCCGATGAAGCGGTGGCAGTGTCTGACACCGTAGGAGTTGTTGCTGTGTCTGATGCCGTTGGTGTCGTTGCAGTGTCTGACGCCGTTGGAGTTGTGGCTGTGTCTGATGCCGTTGGTGTCGTTGCAGTGTCTGACGACGTTGGAGTTGTGGCTGTGTCTGATGCCGTTGGTGTCGTTGCAGTGTCTGACGACGTTGGAGTTGTGGCTGTGTCTGATGCCGTTGGTGTCGTTGCAGTGACTGAAACCGTAGAAGTGGTGTCTGATGCCATTGGTGTCGTTGCAGTGTCTGACACTGTAGGAGATGTGTCTGATGCCATTGGTATCGTTGCAGTGTCCGACACTGTAGGAGTTGTAGCTGTGTCTGATACCGTTGGTGTCGTCGCAGTGTCTGACACCGTAGGAGTTGTGTCTGATGCCATTGGTGTCGTTGCATTGTCTGACACCGTTGGAGTTGTAGCTGTGTCTGATGCCGTTGGTGTTGTTGCAGTGTCTGAAACCGTTGGAGTTGTTGCTGTGTCTGATGCCGTTGGTGTCGTTGCAGTGTCTGATACCGTAGGAGTTGTTGCTGTGTCTGATGCAGTTGGAGTCGTCGCAGTGTCGGACACCGTAGGAGTTGTATCTGATGCCGTTGGTCTCGTTGCAGTGTCTGAAACCGTTGGAGTTGTTGCTGTGTCTGATGCCGTTGGTGTCGTCGCAGTGTCTGACACCGTAGGAGATGTGTCTGAAGCAATTGGTGTCGTTGCAGTGTCAGACACCGTAGGAGTTGTGTCTGATGCAGTTGGAGTCGTCGCAGTGTCGGACACCGTAGGAGTTGTGTCTGATGCCGTTGGTGTCGTTGCAGTGTCTGACACCGTAGGAGTTGTTGCTGTGTCTGATGCAGTTGGAGTCGTCGCAGTGTCTGACACAGTAGGAGTAATATTTGATGCCGTCGGTGTTGTTGCAGTGTCTGACACCTTTGGAGTTGTTGCTGTGCCTGATACTGTTGGAGTCGTCGCAGTGTCTGACACCGGAGGAGTTGTGTCTGATGCCGTTGGTGTCGTTGCAGTGTCCGACACCGTAGGAGTTGTTTCTGATGTCGTTGGTGTCGTTGCAGTGTCTGACACCGTAGGAGTTGTATCTGATGCCGTTGGTGTTGTTGCAGTGTCAGACACCGTAGGAGTTGAGTCTGATGCCGTTGGTGTCGTTGCAGTGTCTGACACCGTAGGAGTTGTTGCTGTGTCTGATGTCGTTGGTGTCGTTGCAGTGTCAGACACCATAGGAGTTGTGTCTGATGCCGTTGGTGTCGTTGCAGTGTCAGACACCGTAGGAAATGTGTCTGATGCCGTTGGAGTCGTTGCAGTGTCTGACAACGTAGGAGTTGTTGCTGTGTCTGATGCCGTCGGTGTCGTTGCAGTGTCTGACGCTGTAGGAGTTGTGTCTGATGAAGTTGGTGTCGTTGCAGTTTCTGACACCGTAGGAGTTGTATCTGATGCCATTGGTGTTGTTGCAGTGTCTGAAACCGTTGGAGTTGTTGCTGTGTCTGATGCCGTTGGTGTCGTTGCAGTGTCTGACACCGTAGGAGTTGTGTCTGAAGCCGTTGGTGTCGTTGTAGTGTCAGTCACCGTAGGAGTTGTGTCTGATGCCGTTGGTGTCGTTGCAGTGTCTGACACCGTAGGAGTTGTTGCTGTGTCTGTTGCAATTGGAGTCGTCGCAGTGTCTGACACCGTAGGAGTTGTGTCTGATGCCGTTGTTGTCGTTGCAGTGTCTGACACCGTAGGAGTTGTATCTGATGCCGTTGGTGTTGTTGCAGTGTCTGAAACCGTTGGAGTTGTTGCTGTGTTTGATGCCGTTGGTGTCGTCGCAGTGTCTGACACCGTAGGAATTGTTGCTGTGTCTGATGCAGTTGGAGTCGTCGCAGTGTCTGACACCGTAGGAGTTGTGTCTGATGCCGTTGGTGTCGTTGTAGTGTCAGACACCGTAGGAGTTGTGTCTGATGCCGTTGGTGTCGTTGCAGTGTCTGACACCGTAGGAGTTGTTGCTGTGTCTGATGCAGTTGGAGTCGTCGCAGTGTCTGACACCGTAGGAGTTGTGTCTGATGCCGTTGGTGTCGTTGCAGTGTCAGACACCGTAGGAGTTGTATCTGATGCCGTTGGTGTTGTTGCAGTGTCTGAAACCGTTGGAGTTGTTGCCGTGTTTGATGCCGTTGGTGTCGTCGCAGTGTCTGACACCGTAGGAGGTTTTGCTGTGTCTGATGCAGTTGGAGTCGTCGCAGTGTCTGACACCGTAGGAGTTGTGTCTGATGCCGTTGGTGTCGTTGCAGTGTCTGACAACGTAGGAGTTGAATCTGATGCCGTTAGTGTTTTTGCTGTGTCTGACACCGTTGGAGTTGTTGCTGTGTCTGATGCCGTTGGTGCTGTCACAGTGTCTGAAACCGTAGGAGTTGTGTCTGATGCCGTTGGTGTCGTTGCAGTGTCTGACACCGTGGGAGTTGTTGCTGTGTCTGATGCAGTTGGAGTCGTCGCAGTGTCTGACACCGTAGGAGTTGTTTCTGATGCCGTTGATGTCGTTGCAGTGTCTGAAACCGTTGGAGTTGTTGCTGTGTCTGATGCCGTTGGTGTCGTTGCAGTGTCTGACACCGTAGGAGTTGTATCTGATGCCGTTGGTGTTGTTGCTGTGTCTGACACCGTTGGAGTTGTTGCTGTGTCTGATGCCGTTGGTGCTGTCACAGTGTCTGAAACCGTAGGAGTTGTGTCTGATTGCGTTGGTGTCGTCGCAGTGTCTGACACTGTAGGAGTTGTGTCTGATGCCGTTGGTGTCGTTGCAGTGTCTGACACCGTAGGAGTTGTTGCTGTGTCTGATGCAGTTGGAGGCGTCGCAGTGTCGGACACCGTAGGAGTTGTGTCTGATGTCGTTGGTGCTGTAACAGTGTCTGACACCGTAGGAGTTGTGTTTGATGAAGTTGGTGTCGTTGCAGTGTCTGACACCGTAGGAGTTGTTGCTGTGTCTGATGCAGTTGGAGTCGTCGCAGTATCGGACACCGTAGGAGTTGTGTCTGATGCCGTTGGTGTCGTTGCAGTGTCGGACACCGTACGAGTTGTATCTGATGCCGTTGGTGTTGTTGCAGTGTCTGAAACCGTTGGAGTTGTTGCTGTGTCTGATGCCGTTGGTGTCGTTGCAGTGTCTGATACCGTAGGAGTTGTTGCTGTGTCTGATGCAGTTGGAGTCGTCGCAGTGTCGGACACCGTAGGAGTTGTGTCTGATGCCGTTGGTGTCGTTGCAGTGTCTGACACCGTAGGAGTTGTATCTGATGCCGTTGGTGTTGTTGCAGTGTCTGAAACCGTTGGAGTTGTTGCTGTGTCTGATGCCGTTGGCGTCGTTGCAGTGTCTGATACCGTAGGAGTTGTTGCTGTGTCTGATGCAGTTGGAGTCGTCGCAGTGTCGGACACCGTAGGAGTTGTATCTGATGCCTTTGGTGTCGTTGCAGTGTCTGAAACCGTTGGAGTTGTTGCTGTGTCTGATGCCGTTGGTGTCGTCGCAGTGTCTGACACCGTAGGAGATGTGTCTGAAGCAATTGGTGTCGTTGCAGTGTCAGACACCGTAGGAGTTGTGTCTGATGCAGTTAGAGTCGTCGCAGTGTCGGACACCGTAGGAGTTGTGTCTGATGCCGTTGGTGTCGTTGCAGTGTCTGACACCGTAGGAGTTGTTGCTGTGTCTGATGCAGTTGGAGTCGTCGCAGTGTCTGACACCGTAGGAGTTGTGTCTGATGCCGTTGGTGTCGTTGCAGTGTCTGATACCGTAGGAGTTGTTGCTGTGTCTGATGCAGTTGGAGTCGTCGCAGTGTCGGACACCGTAGGAGTTGTATCTGATGCCGTTGGTGTCGTTGCGGTGTCTGAAACCGTTGGAGTTGTTGCTGTGTCTGATGCCGTTGGTGTCGTCGCAGTGTCTGACACCGTAGGAGGTGTGTCTGAAGCCGTTGGTGTCGTTGCAGTGTCAGACACCGTAGGAGTTGTGTCTGATGCCGTTGGTGTCGTTGCAGTATCTGACACCGTAGGAGTTGTTGCTGTGTCTGATGCAGTTGGAGTCGTCGCAGTGTCGGACACCGTAGGAGTTGGGTCTGATGCCGTAGGTGTCGTTGCAGTGTCTGACACCGTAGGAGTTGTTTCTGATGTCGTTGGTGTCGTTGCTGTGTCTGACACCGTATGAGTTGTTGCTGTGTCTGATGCAGTTGGAGTCGTCGCAGTGTCTGAAACCGTAGGAGTTGTGTCTGATGCCGTTGGTGTTGTTGCTGTGTCTGACACCGTAGGAGTTGTTGCTGTGTCTGATGCAGTAGGAGTCGTTGCCGTGTCGGACACCGTAGGAGTTGGGTCTGATGCCGTTGGTGTCGTTGCAGTTACTGACACCGTAGGAGTTGTGTCTGATGTCGTTGGTGTCGTTGCAGTGTCTGACACCGTAGGAGTTGCATCTGATGCCGTTGGTGTTGTTGCAGTGTCTGACACCGTTGGAGATGTTGCTGTGTCTGATGTCGTTGGTGCTGTTACAGTGTCTGACACCGTAGGAGTTGTGTCTGATGTCGTTGGTGTCGTTGCAGTGTCTGACACCGTAGGAGTTGTTGCTGTGTCTGATGCAGTTGGAGTCGTCGCAGTGTCGGACACCGTGGGAGTTGTGTCTGATGCCGTTGGTGTCGTTGCAGTTTCTGACACCGTAGGAGTTG